TTGAAAAGTGAAAAACTGGTCATCAGACCATACTGTCTGCAAAAAAAAGTTGAATTCAAGAGTCCTTTTGCAATTAGACTTCTTGTATCATGACATCTTAGCATAGAAATGAGCAAAAAGTAACAAATTTCCATTTCTTATAGCCTCTGTGTGCATTTTTATATGTAAATATTGGCTACGGCCTAAATCGACTCTAAATAATTCTCAGTCTTACTTGGCCTAAGACCATTTTATTCTCATGTGGTATGCTTTTTGTAACTTTTCTTTACATTTAAAGTACATTTAATATATATGAAAGAATAAAGTATGGTTAAAAAACTTCAAAAACTTCAAATTGGTTGAAAAAAATGCATGTTTATGTAAGGCTTCCCTTAATTCGAAAATCTCTATTTTCAGGCACAGGCTCATATAAATTTGACTTTTGAATAGCTGTAATAAATCTGATAAATCAAATGAGTGTTCCGTTGCTTTTAATACTTATTATATTATATTCAAGAGTATTTAAAAAGCACATTTTTGCAATATTTAAATTTTTTAGGCCAAAATCTTGACAGTTGAAAATATTTGATTTAAATGTCAAAAATAAACATCCAAATTTCAATATTAAAATGGCCCTAGTTTCTATAATATATATCTTATGGCCATGAAACTTGGCCAACTATCTTATAATTTCCTAAGCTTAGGTCATGCAAAGTTTTATTAAAATTGGTCAAGTCTTTCTATCCTATTAGGTCCAAGGACACAGTTATCGTCCTTTGGTTTTCGTTGTCTACGAATATAGTCCCTAGTGTGAACAGTGTATAACTTGCATTTTTTTTTGATACACTTTCCCAATTTATTTCTTGATATTTTATGCATGAAATATTAAGTAAGGGGATGAAATTACATGTTAAAAAAATTTGGGTGCTGAATCTTTATGTTAAGTAGTGATTTGGTCCAGTTAAAAAAGGTCAAAAATTAGAATGTCTGAAGCTGTCAAACTGAATTTTAGCCCCCCTTAACACAGAATTGTCAATATTTTGAGTTAGAGCTGGTAGAAGTTTCTATAATTTTGATATAATTTGTATCAATAGTAGTACACTACACTGTAAAAATCTTTTTGAGATAGAGCAGGTGCGATTTTTTTAATTTGAATTTATTGTCTAAAAGAAATGCACTACGAAATAACTGTGTTCTCGGGCCAGAGAGCACATATTGTGTTTTTCTCAAGTGTTTTCATCAATTGTTATGAAAGAAGATTTCCTGTGGTATGGATTGTAGTAAAACTTTGAATGTTTATAATTTGAGAGCATATAGTAATCACTTTGTGTTTCCAAAACAAATGGTTTCTGGGTGAAACTTAAGCATCCCTTGCTAGGTTGGAATGAAACGTACACAGATGGATATTGATTTGTTTGGTCAATAGGGGAAAGGTCAGTCACTTTTAGTAAAAATAGATATTTTTTTAAAACCGTTTCGGGTGGCAACTTGATTTTGCCTTTCTTCATTGGACTGAAACTTATACAGATTGAAGATATAGAAAAGGGAAGGAAGCATATATATTTTGGGGTCAAAGGTCAATGTCACTGTTACTAAGAAATAAATAAAAAAATACGGAAAAATGGTTTCCGAATGGTAGATTGAGTTTCCATTGCTCGCATGAATCTTATACAGAATGAAGGCGAGGAAATTTAGAGGCCTATTGATTTTTGGGTCAAAGCCCATCAATGTCACTGCCGGGAGTCGTAACCCACTATAAATTGTGACACATTTATGCATGTGAAAAATTAGCAATTATATTATTCTGTCACACAGCTGACCAAGGACTGCTATAGTATCAGTGTTGACGTAAAACTTGTTAAAAGTTAACTATTTAACATTGTAGTAAGATCTTTAAATGTTGTGTCTTCATTGGTACTAACATTGATTTACTTCATGCAAGGACGTGTATTTTTTAATTATAAATCCTTGCATCAAGGTATGGGTTTTGCTCATAGTTGAAGGCCATAAGCTATCTGGACCATGTGTTGTTCAATGTAGTTTCTCTTTGTTTTATTTTTTTTTCGGAGGAATTGGTGTGAGTTGTTGATGTATGTTGTACGTTTGAATATAAAATCAACACAAAAATATGTCCTTCCCAAGTCTCCTGCTAAACCCCAAAAACTATAATTTTTGTCGAGCCTGCAACTTTTGTCGCAGAAACCCCGACATAGGGATAGTGATCCGGCGAAGGCGGCAGCTTTAGCTGACTTCTTAAAAGCTTAATATTTCAGAAGGTAGAAGACCTGGATGCTTCATACTTTGTATATAGATGCCTTATGATATTAAGTTTCCGTCTGTCATATGTCCATTGTCCTTGACCTCATTTTCATAGTTAAGTGACTACTTGAAAAAAAGTAATGATTTTTCGTAATGTTAATTTCTCTCTTATTATGAGTAATATGATAACTATATTTAGTATGTCCGTATCTTGCAAGGTCCTCATGCCTGTCAGACAGTTTTCACTTGACCTCGACCTCATTTCATGGATCAGTGAACACAGTTAAGTTTTCGTGGTCAAGTCCATATCTCAAATACTATAAGCAATAGGTCTAATATATTTGGTGTATGTAATGATTGTAAGGTGTACATGTCAGTCTGGCAGGTTTAATTTTATCTTGACCTCATTTTCACGGTTCATTGGTCAATGTTAAGTTTTAGTGTTTTTGGTCTGTTTTTCTAATACTGTTTGCAATAGGTCAACTATATTTGGTGTATGGAAATATTTTACGATGTACATGTCAGTCTGGCAGGTTTAATTTGACCTTGACCTCATTTTCACGGTTCATTGCTCAATGTTAAGTTTTTGTGTTTTGGTCTGTTTTTCTTAAAGGTTAAGCAATAGGTCAACTATATTTGGTGTATGGAATGATTGTAAGGTGTATATGTCTGTCTGGCAGGTATCATTTGACCTTCACCTCATTTTCATGGTTCATTGGTCAATGTTCAGTTTTCCATGGTTTGGTCTGTTTCTTTTATGCTATAAGCAATAGGTCATCTATATTCGGTGTATGGAATGATTGTATTAAAGGTGTACATGTATTTCGAGCTGGATTTATCTGACCTTGACCTCATTTTCTTGGATCATAAATCTTAATGTGATACTTGTAGTAAAACTTTATATTACGACTATCAACATAAAATTAATGGTCAGTATAGGAGGCGAGACACTTCAGCGTGTGCACTCTTTTTTAATTTCATTCGTTTCAGATTGCATTAGTTTTATAATTTACCTTCAAATGATGAAAAATTCACATTTATACTAAAAGAATTAAAAATATGGGTCAAATACAATACCTAAATAATTAGTCATCGTTGAAGATTATATGAGTTCCAATTAAAAAACAACTCGGTTACTGTATGCTGCAAAAATTTAAACTAAAATGCAATTCTTGTTGTAACTTTATTTTATTTTATTTTATTTGGTATATCATCAAAGTAGTAGGCATACTTATCACTTATTCGCGAACAAGAGGCGCCAAGGAGACAAAATCATTCATCTAATAAAAAATATGCCAAAATGATATAAGTTACGTAAATGTAAAGGGATACAAAATGTATTAACTAATTCTAAGCCCCCCGACACACACCCAAAGTGTTTACTGTGTCCATTTGCTGTCTATCTACAATAGTTTTCAAGATAAAAGGCAAACATGCTTCAATTCGCCATTTGAAGGCAGTGACAGCTATAGTTAGTCTATAAACGGTTTCAGTCATAATGGCGTTTTTGTAGATCCAGAATGTTCTAAATTTTACTAAAACATTTCATTAAAGGGCAAACACTTCTATAAGGAGTCGTCTGATTTTTGTACAAATAGAAAATTTAGACGTTCTATTTTTTGTTTTTTTTGCGCAGTCAGATATTCTGTTTCTATTATGGTTTACCAGATATTCTTAAAACCCTTATGTTCTATTATTAACCTATTGGTTTATGGACTGGAATAAAATTAACACTGAAACTTTAATCGAGATAGCCTAAGAATCAATCATGTTAAGTTTCTGATTTGAATTAGGCAAGCAGTTTCGTAGAAGGAGATCTTTGAGAAATTTTCCGGACGATGGATGCCAAGTAATAGCAAAAGCTCGTACTGGAGCTGAAATGTACTACTAAAAGAGAATAGCACACCGTTCAATAACACCTCTTTAATTTATGGCAATCACCTTTTACGACAGACTAATTATTTCAATTGTCTGCAATTTAATGATTTTTTGTCTGGTCTTTGACAAAATAGGTTTACATCATATGTATTTAGTGTTCATTGAACTTTCGAAAAACTCACATCCACAAGCAATCAAATAATAATATTCAACCGTATAAAGGCACAAAAATGTATAAAATGATAAGCAAGTACAAAATTATATAGTAATCATAATATCGCAATGTGAATGATACATTGGCTGTTGCTTGCTTAACGTCCATTGGCAAATATTTCATTCAATTTTAAGACGAAAACACATTAGCAATCAAAAATACTAAATATAAGTATGTTCTGCAAGGAAGATTGACCGGGATGAAAGGTGTAAGGTAAATTTGGACTACAACTGGAAAAATGAGGGTATGCTGCAAAGAGGCAGAAATCATAATTTCCCATGCAAAAGGTCGCATACGCACCCTTCAGAGAGCGTATGTAAGGATTATTTAAAATGCGAAGAGCGAACTTACTCATCCTACAAGACTATGACCCAAAATGAATAAGATATTCAATATTGCATTTGACCCCCTTGAAAAAAAAATAAAATGAAAATCGGACTATCAGAAAAAGAGTTGAGACCGCTGTTTTCCATATATCCGATTCATTTCAACGTTTCGTGTTGAATTAGTGCACACTTATTATGCGGTCGCAGAATATTATATATTCATGTTAAACTTTAAGATATACAAAAAGTGTGTACTTTCGAAGAAAGTACTAGGCATAATGACGACTATAATTTAAAAGCGTACGAATGGTATAATGTTAAAACGAAAGTACAGAATTTGAATTTAATTTCCCTTATTATGCAGATTTGTGTATAAATTTTGAAAGTACAGTGGTGGTATTGTATGGTATTCGATCTTCAACTGAGTGAAATAAAAGTCTCTAAAAGGTAGTACTAGTTAAGCCAGAATTGAAATGATGTGAAAACCCGTTTCAGCGTGTAAAACATGGTGTTCGTGTTCCTTGAGCGAATCTTTTAGTTCTTAAATAATTTTAGATGAACTACTAGTACATGATTGTGATATTCCGGATCACAGCTGTTCAAATTGCAGAGGATTTTGATAAAAAAAATTAATCATTGATTAAAATCTCGTTGACTTTAAGTGGAATATTATATGATAACACAAGGTAAGATCCGGATCAGTAGACAGGTGTACTAGTTCTCATATTTACTACAGATATTTGTTCTTGTATTATTATTGTTGTATTATTCATTGAGAACAAATATGGAAGTGTATATTATGTGTTTTCGTCGTCTATTGATCGTGTTGATTGTAACATTGGAATCCATGTGTAAATCGGAAGATTGTTACTGTTTAAGGAAGCTAGTGGGCGATATCGATAGTCCTGTGTTTGTAGAACAGGATCCTGTGAATAGAAGATATTATGTGGCACAACAGTCCGGAGTTGTACATATATATTCAAAAGATTGGGAGAAAGAGTCAAAACCTTTAGTCAATTTAACAAATGACGTTCACATCTCTAACAATATTTGGGATGAGAGAGGTTTACTTAGCATTGCCTTGCATCCACAGTTTCACAGTAATAATCTGATCTTTACGTATAGCATTCGTCTGATCAATGGGAAAGAATATGCTGTCGTTTCAAAACTTGAGATCCGACCTGATCTACTGAAGGAAGATATTATTCTAGCTATTGAACAGGCAAACCAAAAGTTGAATGGTGGACAGGTATATATACTTGTATACATGTACATTTAAAAAACTGTTAAATGTTTCTGTTTTACTGATGTAATGTGATCATGAAAAATGACATAAAATATAAATCACCTGTTTTTACTAAAATGTGAAATTTTTTTACAACATTTTCTACTTAAGTTAATTTTACAACATATTTGAACTGTAAAATTTTTCTCTTTATACACAAAGTTTGGTTGAAACAGATTGTGTGTCTGTATATATATATATAATCTTCTTTGTCCTTCATGAATCCTGATTAATCATATGTAGGACTAACATTTGGTTCATCTGGAATGATGCCCAGGTTTTGAACACAATTTTTGATTCAATTTTTCTGGCCTTGGAACCAGATGGTACATTGTTAAACCTTTTGATAGTTGTGCATGTGTATTGGATTTTAGGTCCGTTCTATACTTTAAACTTATATTCTATTCTTAGTATAACAGTTCTTATGTGCATCAAAGCATTTGATCAGAATGTTCGAGTCTTCGCTAAGTTTCAATAGTCATGATGTTACTTAAATTCTTGAACCCGTTTCAGTACCTTTTTTGGATGGTTTTAAGAGATATGTGCGAAAGACGGTACATTTTTTTCATATTTTCATATGTGCATGCCTGTAGTTGGGGTTTCCGTCTGTGAAGATTTTCAAGAGCTTGGATATTTATCCCTCATAGAGGACAAAAATAGTTGTTTCTGGTGTCTTTTTCCTGACCCACAAAGGTTTTTTTCTTCTTTCTTTTCAAGGCTATACTTCTCCCTTTTGGAATTTTGTTTGAAAGTAATATTTTAGGGATATTCTATGGTCTCCTGTGTAATTTATCATCGTTTCTCATTCCTCATTAACTGGCAGTAAATCATTAAATCTAGCATAAAATAAAAAAATGCAAATGATTGTATATGAACAATTTGAGATGTTAATGAAAAATGAAACAAACAACACAAAAATTTTGGAAATCAGCATAATTATGGTCTTCAACAAATAGACAAGTATCTATAAGCTCTAAATCTCTCCTAGTCTAAAACTGTTGTGATTTTTTTCTTAATCAAGAATACCCTGGATATGCCAAATTCCCAATTGAAGAGAAAAAACTTTTAGATATAATGAAAGACTACCAATGGTGAGGTTCCTGGCGTTCAACAGGTACATGACCTTGATGAGTTTTTTTTTTTATATATAGATTTCAACCCTTCACCCATTTTAATCCCCATCAGTGGAAAAGCAAAATGTATACTACTAAGAAGGTACAATAAAATTAGTTATAAGCAAAACGTATTAGCTGCCCAGTTACAAAATACGATAAATCATATATATTTAGTATGCAAAACACAGATTTTTATCGTACCAGGAGGTGGTGACACGCTTTTAGGATGTGGGATATAGGCGGTAGAAAACTGGGGATTTGGGATACAGGGAGTAAAAAAGTGGGATCTATAGAACAAAAAGGAAAAAAGAGGGAAGCGAAAAAATTTTTCGAAAAAAGCGGGAGTTGGAAAATGAACACCTCGTGTCACCCCCTCTATCATATGAATAAAAATATTTTTTTTCTTTCTTTTACGTGCTTAACCACCAGCAAAACAACAGCTCATATACCGCTTTTAAATGGAATATAAAAGCTCTATAACTCAATACTCTTTTAAATTAACAGGCTTTTTTTGGCAATGATGGAAAATTGTATGTGTCCATTGGAGATGGGGGATCACTTGATAACAAAAATATTTCGTTTGCTCAGAGCAGGTATGCTTATGTAATTTGCATATAAGTTTTGGTAAGAATTGTGTTATTTGGCCAAGTATATTGTATCGTACATAGCAAATAAAATGTGAAATATTGAAGAAAAATATTTAGTTCATCCATAAGAAAGCGGATTCTGACATGGTCCTAGCCTAACCCTGCTTCCAAGTTAAAACGAAGGAACTGTTTATTATAACAGTTCTAATTGTAATTTATTATTCAATTCTGTTGCTAAAGGGCAACTATTATGCAAAAAGTAGAATAACAAAAATACCGAACTCCAAGGAAAATTCAAATCGGAAAGTCCTTTATAAAATGGCAAAATCAAAAGCTCAAACACATCAAACGAATGGAAAACAACTGTCATATTCCTGACTTGGTGCAGGTATTTCCTTATGTAGAAAATGGTGGATTAAACCTGGTTTTATAGCTAGCTAAACCTCTCACTTGTATGACAGTCGCATGGTAGTATCAAATGAGTTATCTTTATGAGAACACTTTATGAGAACACGTACAAATACCATGATTTCATTGCAAACAAGTAAAGGGTAACGTTAGACTGCCCCCTAATTTTCCTGTCGTGCAAACTATTTGAAAATTGCAATTTTAAGCGTTTAGACAACCCTGTCGTCTTCATGGCTGATGACCTTTATGGCAGTGGAGTGAACTTTTTTAAGTAAATTTATCTTTTAATCCTGGTAATGTATTGAATGCAAGTATGTACGACGAAAATAAATCGAACGATGATCAAAGAGAATTAATAAGGTATGGGTAACATGAGTAAAGTACCTGTATTAACAGATCACATGACGTGGAAGTTTTCATATATATTGTGGATTGTACCCTACAGAAAGATAACACCATGAACATTTAAATATAAATTTTTATTAATTAAGTAGATAACGGAAGAAATAAAAAAGAAGGGACTATGCAGTATGGGTTTTACTCATTGTTGAAGGCCGTACTATGACATATAGTTGTTAATTTCTGTGTTATTTGGTCTCTTGTGGAGAGTTGTCTCATTGGCAAGCATACCACATCTTCTTTACATACATGTATGCATCCAAACTTCAGGTGTTTCGAGTTTATCTTCATCGCGGACCAAAGGATAGAGATGTTTTGTTGTAATCAAGATGATTTGTCGGTTAAGAACACAACTATGATAATTTTCTTCTGTAGTTTGAGTCTACTTGGTAAAATTTTACGAATTAACATTGACAAGACTGAAGTAGTGGATGACCATCTTCTGTTTTACTCAGTACCTGATGACAATCCTTTCGTAGGAAACGCGTCATGGAGACCAGAAATTTTCGCACTTGGAGCCAGAAATATGTGGCGCTGTAGTGTTGACAAAGGTATGTAAAACTCCCATACAATACATTTACACAAGACCAGTACGAAATAACCTCCCATTAAAGGCTATAATTTAAAATGATAAAAGATGATGATTGAGACTGGGTACAACAGAACGGTCAATGTTTTTTTACACAAATTAGTAAACAGAATCCATAACAATGGGTAGAGAGCCGATATAAACTTTTCAACTTTCAACTTTTACGACTTGTGTTGTCTCGTGTTAATTAATTTCACGACTAAGTGTATTGACAATTATCTGTTGCTGAGGCCCGGATGTGACCTCTAGTAGATATTTTTTTTCAACTTTGTTATAATTTTGTTGGTTTTTATTTGATTTGTTTTGCCTTTTATTGCCCTGTCTTTGTGTTTTTTTTTTTGTTTTTTTTTTTTGGATTGCAGTCTCATTGACTTGCATCGGCATCTTATCAGAGTCCTATTGTGTCTAAATATTTTTGCAAGTATGCCTATATTAATCAGTACTAACATCAATATGAATGTTGGAAGGAGTAATTCAAATGTAGAGGACAGTAAAGACCTATATAGATACAGTTATATATACCGTTAATATTCCGCTATAGCCGATATGTTAACAGTTTCAAAACTGGAAAATATGGTCAATGCAAATTGCAACAAAAATGAGGATATTTTAAGGAAGAATTCTGGACAATTTTTAAATCACATCTTTTATAAGCAGCACTGTACCTGTCATATCTCGGTTTTCAAAGCCAGTATTAAATGAGTTAAATTCAGTGTGAAAACGGAAAGGTAAGCGTTTAGAAATATAGTCTAATGTAACGGAGACTCCTGTTTCATGGCGATCGACATAACAGTGATCGTGACCAACACTACATATGTGGTGAATAGTTTGACTGAATATAGCCCAGCTGATTTACTCATAATACAGTTTTAAGAGTCATGTAGGATGACATCTTAAAAAAAAACAAATGTACGTATTTCTGTTTGCAGGAACTGGTTATTTATACTGTGGTGATGTTGGTGATACAGACACAGAAGAAATTAACTTAATTAAATCCGGAAAAAATTATGGGTGGAACATATTTGAAGGTTCTGTTGCTAATATTAACAGAACAAAAAATGAAGCAATAGGTATATAAACAATTCTATTTAACAAATACCAGAAAATATTATTACTAAACTCGCGCAGTTTTACTGGTTCAAAGAAAAGGGGTCCTTATATTTGAACTACACAAATGTATGTCACAAGCATGACATTCTGAAAATGCAAACTTAAATAAACCTAACATATATTCGACTTACTGTTTGCTCTGGACAGTTTTGATGTTCAATAGTAATATTATTCCATATTTTTTCATTGCATTTCAAACGTTTCTAAATTGACCAACCCCTTATTCAAAATAGATTATGAAAGATACATATAGCTAACGAATACATCTTCACAAAAAGTTGATTTGCTGTGCAATTGACTATTGATGTTCACAAGAAATTCTATCCAAATTCAGACCTAAATCAGTAAAAATCATGATCTTGTCGTCAAAATTATGAGGCTATACAATAACATTATTACAGATGTAGTGTGCAAATGTTTTATTCATATAAATGGGACAGTAACTCAACGACACCAAAAAAACTAGAAGACACCCAGAGGTAAACATACGGTCTTCAACCTTTTTAAAACAAGTGTCTATACAATATGCCAAGCTCTATGTCGCCCGATTCTGAAAACGTGCATAAATTCGATAAAAATTATCAAAGATCTTCAATCTACACCAATTTCTCCAAATCACAAAAACATATCAATATTTGGCAAGAGACAACCTCTTGCCTAGTTTCTGGCTTTGAACAGACACGTGAACATATTCAGCTTGTATTTTTGCATATTTGTTAATCAAAAGGTGATGATGACTATACTTGAATTTCATTAAATTGTATTGCCAATATTGACCTTTTGTGAACCGTACTCCTTTCATTTATATTTTTCTAATGGTATTGTTAACTCCTTGTTCGATCTTCTTTATTTTTTAGCAAACGAAGGTCCTATATATAGTTACCCACATGGTGATATGGGACATGCTGTAGTAGGAGGCTATGTCTATAGGGGAAAGGCATTTTCAAGTCTTTTTGGACAGTACATGTTTGGTGATTATGTTTCTGGGTATGTTATGTTAATGCCGGAATATGATGTTGTCTTGTCCCCAAGATTAAAAATCATAATATTATAAGTATTTCAATATTAAAGATACAATTCTGAATTCAATTGTAAATAAACTGCAACATATAATTTAAGCATATATCTAATTTCTTCAAGAGTTAAAATCAACAACAAGAACAGGTACCGTCGACAACTTTTTTTTAGGTATTTTCATTAAAAGTATTTCCTGGTATGAAAATTCTTTTAAAAAATACATCATAATTCTGGATATACATGTACATATATTGAATAAGGCGATAGGGTCAAGGAAAAATTTAGATATTGAAAGTCCAGAGTTTAAAGTCATTTATGTTACTTGAATAACAAAAGAAGTATTCATAAAACAGTGGGAAATCTACTGACAAAATATTACCTCCCATGTAAACACTGAAAACTTAATCTTTGTCCCGTTTTGGCAAGTTATAAATTCACGAGAAAACGTTCTGGTGAATAGTAAAAATAAAAATAAGTTGAAATAAAAACTTCCATTCAATGTTATAATGTCCCTCCATAAATAGCAAACGACGTGTACAGCAGGCCATAGGAGCTTGGTGTAAAATTGGTTTAAAATGTTGCTATGTAATAAATTCCAGGAAAACCATTTTCAATTTATTTTTCTATAAAGGCTGTATACTTCTCTGGAACATGCCAATTATCAGTATATGTATGCAGCTAGATCAGTGATTTTGCTAGCGCTCGTCACTTTCGTCATTTACGAAACTGTTTTCAAAATGACGAAAGTATTTCAAATCAGTTTCGTCACTTGAATTTGGAAAGTGTAAAAATATTTTCGCATTGAAAAACAATTCTACCTGTCTTTATGTTTCTGACAAGTTTATGACCCTCCGCTAATTAACATTTACAACAAGTGTTATAAAGTTGTGATTACAGTTAATCCGCTTATCGCCATCGGATGGGTCACTAATCTGTTAATTATTACCAAACTTCATAATTGACCATCATAATTATTCTCCCCAGTTAAATCAGTCAGTCGGTATTTAAATTTCAATATTTCCAAAGGCCTTCGACCACAATTTGCAGTTCGTTTGTCGTAGTTTCGTCATTTCACATTTGAACAAAATATTGTTTTCCCCCTGACAGTTCGCTTTTTAATTTCAATGTTTCTAAAATGATCACAATTTGCAGTTCGTTTGTCGTAGTTTCGGCAAATGATCCTATTTTCGTCATCTTTGATGTAAAACTTTCAATTTCGATTAAAAAGATAGAACTTTATTCAGAACGTTCAGAAATGTTTTCACGAGTCAAACAGGTGCTTCCTTTCCGTACTGCGCATGCGTGAAAGTATTCCTATGAATTTATAGACACTAAAACGTAAAATACGAAATAAATTTAGTATCAAAATAAATGAAAGAGACAAATATAGCTCTTAATAAGCAAATTAAAATTAAAAAATGATAATTTCCTGCCTTTTTTAAACACGAACCAATCCGTAGATGAATCCGGATTCATTTTGAATTTATAATTAATCTACTTGTCACTTCCCGTTTCATTTCATTTGAAAATCGAAAGTAAACGTGATCAATACACCTTATCGCTATTTGTCCGCCATTACTGGACATCCCACAAGTTCCCGTAAAATTTTGACGTCATAATAGAAAATGTCTGACGCCACAATGGAAAAATGATTGTTGTATGACGTCAAAAGTTCAAGTCGAGCGGGACAGATTCTCGGGTCAAGCGGGATTAGCGATAAGGTGTATTCTCGATTACAATTTACAGTTATTAGAATCGTTCCAATAAGGATTTGTACAAATCCTTTGTTCCAACTGACAAATTGAAGCCATTTTTTGTTGGGCACATGAAACTTATTGAAGTCAAAGTTAGTCCGAGATTACTCTGACGTCCAACGGCTATATCGCCAGACAAGCTGGGGCCGTAGTGAAAGTTTGAACTAGATTTCCAGATTTTATATCCTAATCTTCATTTTTGAAGTGCCACATCAGTCAAACCATTGCAGTTACTGCCTAGTAAATTTATGCCTTAGTCCTTCAAAGTTTGACAAAGATGTATAGCTAGTTATATACACACATCCTTGGTCCCTTTGCTGTTACCCAAAATAATGTTGATTTTCATCTCGCGCAAAAGTGACTAAAGCCTTCAAAATCCTAGCTTAAACCCTGAGCTAGATCAGAGAGATTCAGGGGGAAAATTCAAAAGGAATCGATTGATATGCAGCAAAGATTAACACTTTTGAAATTAAGTCAATATATGCATATTCAAACGGACCTTATCCTGATGTTACCATTGAATGTAAATAGATCGAGAAGACCGCAAATACATGTACAAAAATCGAGACGACCTTTATTAAAATTGGATAAAAGATCGTAAAAATCTTTTTATTGATAACCTACTTTACAAAAATATCTATCTTTAATTTTTGAACCTACACAGATAGACTTTTTAAATTGTTATATTCACGTCTATGTTGATTAATGTTCACGTGATAAGAGCAGACCGGTGTACTCGATAACTAAGATGTGAAAATAGGTAAATTTTGGGAAATTGTAAAATGCTAAGGATTTTGTGACCAACATGCCAAAAATTGGTGACGTGAAAGATCTTTTGATTTTGTATACGTACATGATTTTTTCCATTTTTTTTTATCAATATGCAGCAAGGATAAACATTTTTTAGATTCAGTTTCACAAGCTTCTAACGGAATTAAAATACTGAACATAAAACTTCGTGTATATGCATGTACAAAATGTATATATCTAATACTGGTAACACATTTTAACAAATAATTTCTCTAAAATGTTCGATTTGTGTTAAGAAATAACTTTTGATCAGTATCGTCACCGGCATTGTTTTACTATTGATTTTCTCGACTTTTTCATAAGAGTTAATGTTCTATTGTTCTCGGTCACTAGATGTCCCACTGTAAAAGAGGGACGAAAGATACCAGAGGGACAGTCAAACTCACAGATCGAAAACAAACTGACAACACCATGGCCAAAAATAAAAAGACAAACAGACAAATAATAGTACAGATGACACAACATAGTAAACTAAAGACTAAGCAACACGAACCCCACCAAAAACTGGGGGCGATCTCAGGTGCTCCGGAAGGGTAAGCAGATCCTGCTCCACATGTGGCACTCGTCGTGTTGCTTATGTTATTACAAATCCGGTAAATAGTCTTATTCGGTAGGTCATATTCGTGAAAAGGGAAGGGTATTGAAGTTACGACATAAGGAACATATCCGATTTCATCTGTGAAACGGTTATTCCATAACGGTCAACCAACTCGTGATGGCGTCCGTAAAATTTACGAAGGGATGATTTCAACTTCACCATTTGGAACTCTTGGTTTAATAGCTTCCTTGTGAGCAGCAATCCTCTATCAAGGAAATCATGATAGGAAATGCAAGCCCGGGAATATCGTATCAACTGGGAGATATATACTCCGTATGCAGGCGCTGCTGGAATTTTGCTACATAGAAATGGAAAGTTCACCAATTGGGAAGCTGAAATCATCTCTTTTGTCGTAAAGTTTTGTTTTCAACCGACCCTCATTGTCAATTTCTAGATGTAAGTCAAGATATGAGGCAGACTTAACTGTATCTGTAGTATCCTTTATCTCTAGTTCGATAGGATAGATTCGTTCAACATAGTCACCAAATTTTGTATTATTTTGTAAAAGGTATTCAAAAAATTATAGCAATAATCTCATGTTGTATTTATTATTTTTGCAGAAAGTTGTTTAGATTAAAATTGAACGAGTCCAATAGTAAATTTAATTTTGCACAATGTACACAAAATAAATGTCCATGTGATGCCCGAGACAAACCTGGGAAATTTCTACAATCATTCTCAACTGATAATGAAGGTAAGAATTCGTTATCTTTAGCGAATGAAAAAGAAAAACACTACCAACTGAAAAGAAAACAGAGCGCTCTTAATGTTTGATAATTCCATCAAATATCAATACAAATTTAAAAACGAAAGAAATAAATTCTTATTGCCTTTTTATATTGGCCTTATAAGTATTAATTAAACATTTCTCCACTTAGAAATTTTTGCTATTCATTTTAGGTCTCTTTTTGGTCATATAGCTCGTCAAGTATAATTATATACATCCACGGCTTTCAAATTTGTGCATTTGAGCGTTCCTGATGAAGGTTATTCCAGAACGCTTCAGACGCACAACATATATAAAGTGTTATTTTCGTTTTTAGAACCAAAGGAGTAACTTTTGGAGACTTTACATATTTTTATATTTATTTCCAATCCAAAACTAATGAGAATTCTGTGATTGCTAGAGTCCTTTTAATCTGAGTTCAACAGATATCTTCGTGTATTAGTCTAAGTTTTATCTGATAATATGAAAAATATATGAATACATGAGGTTTACGTCACCATCGAAAAACAAATAATTATTTGTGACAGAAACCTCGTGTATTCATATATTTTTTGATAGGGTTATTATTATATTTTCCAACATTGCCACCTACAGACCCCTCGAGGGGGTGTTGCAATGGTTCTTTTAAGTGCAGAGACCGTGACACACTCTACACGAGGCATTGAATTTAACAACCAAAACGCATAATTTCATCAAATGTATTACTGGAAGACGGGAGAAGACCGTATTTCTATACCGCAGTCAAACCTTTGGCTGTTATGAAAGGAAATCACATTGGTTAAGATAGTTTATATTATTATAATTATCATACCCAGCGTTTTACGGTAATATTGATTAGTATGAAAAGGCAAGAAGTTTAGAATTGTTTTTAGCTTAAAATACTATTGGTAAATTTTATGATTATACCATTGTTGCTAAATTAATGGGTATTTTTTTACAGAGGATGACCTTGAGGTCACTCCGATGTATTGCTATCGCCTAAATTTCCATTATGCAAATTAGTTTTGGGATTTCAACCGATCTATAAAAATTATAGATCCGCGGTCATTGCAAGGGAAAAAAGTGCATTTTTATACCTGCGGTTCCGTTCTCCGTTCGTACGATGTTTCATCAAAAAATGGAATCATTTCAGTTGTTGATTTAGTACTGAAAATTTGACTGAATTATCTCCTTATTAAATACGGTTTTATATGTTTAATAGGTGTTTAAGAAAGAGGTCAGGTGCTCATGTTCATTCATAAAATTATCGTTCATTCATGAATTTATCGTAAAATCAAAATCACTACACAGGTCACACAGGTTGTGTCAAAAGATTACCTGTATAGTATCTAAAAATAGACAAACTTAACTGACTCCCCTTACTGTAGTGTGTGATAACATTTTGTGAGGGAATTCGATGTTTGCTATACCACTGTTCATTTCAACGCACTTTATGACGATACCACTTTATCAATATGAATGAAATTTTTTGCAGTGTTTTAAGAAATAATTTTACTTTAAAATCGCGTATCATTTGTGAACTATTAAATGTTTTACAAGGACGAATTTTCTGTATAAAGTCAATAATTGTGTGAACTTTTGAAGCCCAAACTTTTTATAGCCTTAAATACGCTAATGAAAGATCCGAAAACTGTACCCATACAGAACGACATGTTTTTGAAATTGTAGCAAAACTTTTGGTTGACAAATTTTAATTCGTTATTGCATAAATATTAACTTGAAATATCTGTCATTTTCTCCCTACCCAGTTTACCTCTATTACTCATTATGATGTGGACTTGACATTGTTATTGAATCTTATGCAATTTGATTGGATTAAGTTATTATTAGATTACCTTCAAACTGTTCATGCTTTTTCGTACGAGTATATTGATTAAATCAGAGCGTGCATGAATGTGTACAGAAAATTAAATGACCTGCAAACTGGACACTGGACCAGTCCATATTACGTTTTATCAATGAATAGATTTTTTTTTTATTTCCCAAATTACAGGGCCCATAAAGGGCATAAAATCATATACAATTGATTTACATAATTGGTAACAACAACAATAATAGCGGCATATAAATAGATATTTAGTATATAAGCATTGGTCAGAATCAGATGAACGAAACTTAAGGTATGAAAGGTAACAATTGCCACTTTTTATCTTTTCACATAATTTTCCACATACACATTAGATAAATTATTTTTGATAGCCTATTGCGGAGAAAAAAGAGAAAGTTTACTGTATTAACGTTCTATTCCATTAAATACGCCATTTTTCGAAGATAAATGCAGAAAAACATTTATGAACGGCTACGCCAGGTAAAATTGTTGTTTATCCTAAAAAAAAATACAATTATCAGTTTCATTAGAATATTATAATAATAATAAATCCCAAATTTATGTAGTCATTAGATAAAGTCCTTATATGTCCGATCTGCCTATTTTTGGACATCAAAAGACAATACGATCGTTTTAAGGTCAATTTCGTCTACCTCACACAATCTTGTTAGGCACTTTAATGAAATGGACCTGAAATTTATTTCACATGTTTCCTGAAAATTGATAAATATCAAAGCAACATAGAGCTGTTTGTTCTAGTTCGTATAATGACAATTTAATGTCATGTTTGTTTGTGATGACCCCCCTTTTCGGGATTGCATCAGAATTATAGTTATCTCGTATCGCATGAGGATGACACATGTCAACTGAGCAATTATGTTTGGGACTTAGTTTTAAGAAATGATGTCAAAGTAACATTATGAAAATATTTTTAGTAAGCTGAAATATATATTTATTTTTTAAAATGTTTATGTCTTGTAAGATATTTTATTTCTGTCCCGTTTTTCAACATTTGCGTCTGGAAAGTTGAAATGTTTTAACTGAATGGTTAATTTAAATTAATTATGAAAATGGTTAAAATTAAATCAATAAAGGAAATTATTGCCCTGTTACAAACACTACCAGGGAATAATCCATAATGATTTTTTTTCAGTTATATGTTTCAGCACATGTATAATTAACCCCAACTTTAGCCTGGTAAACTTGTTGTCTCCTTGTAAAATATAAAACATATTCAAAATGATTTCCTGCTAAAGTCTTATATTGATATAAAGTTAAAACCGTCTTGCTTCTCACTAGTCAACACTCCTGTCCTGTCAGGTTTAATTCTTATATATATGGATGAAAAATAAAAGTCCACAAAACATTAACATGGCAGCAATTGCTTTTACAGCCTTTAAGACTTTGATTTTTTTTTTTTACAGAAGAGTGTCCACCATGCACTTGCATTACACTATAATAATAGTAGAATAGTATGATATACAAATAGATGAAAATTATATATACATGCAACCGTAATATTAATATAATATATAACAACAAACCAGTGTATTCTCTGGAACTATTATTATATTAGTATAATAGTCTAAGGTATACTGATTTGTATCACTACAATATAATAGTTATTACGGTGAGGTTGAATTTCCTATCATTTATTCATCATCCAAGCACGAACTTGTATAAGAAAAAAAAAATCTCTGTAAATTAACCTCAGTTTCAGGTATAGAGATGTGATCTGTTTCTGTGACATGTGCTTTTGACCATCCACAAGAACCTGCGGTCATCCGATGTTCAGTACTTCAGTACTTTGATTATTTTTTGTACTAATGTCAATTTGCTTATTTAAAAGAGTTTAAAACATGACTAACCTGTTTCTTTTAACTTTTTCTGTATTGAAATTCAGTACTATTTGTTTGTTTTAGGGCATAGAACAAGATCGTGTTTTCATGCTCGTAAATAATGCAAATGAAATTTACTCCGAATTGCAGCCGTCGATACAAGAGAAGAGGACGCCATGATTTCTATTTCATGTCAAATATTTTGAATTTTTATTTGGTAAAATATTCGATATTAGATTTTAGGTCCCCAATTATAAATGTGTACTGGCCTTTCGAACGTTTGGCATGTAACTGTACCTGATGAGGGTTATCCCAAAAACAAAGTGTTATGCGCATCTTTGATGTCTGTCTTTATTTGTCACCGATTCCTAATATCTTTAAGTTTGCAATCAAAGCTTGGTGATATGGTGAATTGATGAGATTCTTTTAACAATATAATTTTAGGTGAACTTTTATTATTAACGAAACAGAAAGGAGAGATTCTGAAATTGATACCACCTTTAAGGTAAAGTAGAAATATTTTAAATATATTCCAAAATATAACGCATACCAATTAAATGAATTATAAATGAAGTTATACATATTGATATATTGGTGTAGGAAACATTATTATTTATCGTAAAGTAATAGTTTACTTTCTATTTTTGCAAATGATCTATAAAAAAATATGTAATATTAAAGCTGAGCAGACTACGAAACTTTATACATGATAACGTTATTTTTTATAAGATATGTTAATAAATTTTTTATAAAAATAAGATGCGGTATGATTGCCAATGAGACAACTCTCCACCAGAGACCAAATAACGTAGAAGTTAACAGCTATATAGCTTTCGGTAATGGACAAACCCATACCGCATAGTAAGCTGTAAAAGGCCCCTAAATGATGTTTAGTCCTTTAAGAGTAACAACCACTGACAGATTCAGAGTTGGTACTGGGGTCGTACTCAGTAAAACTTGTATAGAAAAAAAAAGTGAAAATAAGTTTTACGTGGTCTATTGGTGAAGACTTACATTTGAAATCTAGATGGAAATGAAAAAGAGAAGATGTGGTGTATTAATCCATGACAAGTAAACCCTATGTGCACTAAACAAACCCAAAGAAAAGAACACACGCCCTCTTTTCTGCTGTTCTTCCTATCGATTGTAAATCAATATAATTTTGTCAGTAAATATTAATTTAACTGACGTCCTACTTTTGTACTTAAAATGTTCACCCAACCTCACCTCACCTATCCTCTTCGTGCCTTTGCTTGGCATAGAAGACCTTGGTGCATCTTCAACTTCGTCAAGAAGATTTATACATTCTTGCATTGAAACCTTGGATAGAGTCTGGTCAATAGAATTAAGTTTTACTGCTTTTTCATCAACTTGAAATAAAATATATAAATTTAACTAGCAAGTTTTTTCTATCATTACAGTGCCGTGACCACGTGCGGATCCTGCCAGTTGTTGCCGAGCACTGTGGTTTTACTGTGCTCATCTGTTATAGTAACAATGTTATACAGTATCTAGCCTACACTGAATACTATAGTTATGAATTATTAAGTTTAGTGCATACTAATGCGGCGTATTTATATTTTTAAATTTTATTAGTTTTCATGTATCTTCCAAAGGTATTAGTCAAGAATCTTTACATAGTATTTTTTTATATGACCGCAATTTTCAAGAGTCTTATAATGGTATAGTTGTAATCATTATTATGCACGCATTGTAGGAGATACCTCCGTTTAATGTTCATGTGTTCCAGATTGAAATCACTCCCATGTTGGTTTTTTTATCTGTCGACTCTAGATAACTACACGCAGTGAAATCATATCGTTCGTTTTCATTCATATAAATAAAGAAGAAACATGTATGTGTCCCGGTGCCGGATTCTCTTCAATGAGACAATTGGCTCTTTTTTGTTATTTTTCAATGAATTTAGTATTATTTTTGTTTAAAAAAAAGATTTCATACTTTTATATGTAAATATTTTAGGCCAATGTACGGCAAATTTTGGCTACGAAGTGGAAGTTATATTTGAAAATAGAGATTATATTTATGTAGCAATTGGCAAAACTCAGGCCTTTTATATATTATTTTTTTTTTACTTTTTATTTTCTATTTCAATACAGTCTGGGTGAACTATGTATGTATTTGTACATGCAAACTGCATGAGGATGATTATTTCTGAAATCCTTAACCAAATCTCAAAACACCAATGAATAAATACCGTGTTTATAAAATCTTGAAAATTCAAGGTTGTAGTTACTTCATGAAACTTTGTTTTTAAGCATTTCCTAACATTTTTCAAAAGTTCAGTGTCGAAACATAATTTCATTATTTCGTTCTATTGTTTCTTTTGGGTTAATTATATTTTCTTTTTGGTTCATACTAAGTATTTGATTGACGTATTTTTCATCAAGATGTAAAATCATGCACCATTATTGTTATAAGTTCATTGCTTCCATACTAATTTGTATACATTTAACAAACGTTTATACATGTTTAATACATTATAATATAATTTACGATTTGCCCTTTTATGAATGAACGAATGAAGATAGACTCTATTAAGCGATGACTTATCTTTTAACTGTGTACATGATTCGTATCATTATGTATAATGTACAACACTTGTATAAATTCATTGGACTATGTTGAGATTGATTTTAAAAAGTAAGCTTAATAAAGTGAGTTTGTGTTGTTTATTTGTTTATTTTTTATGAAACTGTTTCATTTGTCGATTACGCTCCTAATGTATCGTTAAATTAGTGTAATCGGAGATTGTTGTGACGGTTGACCCCTCGACCCCAAACGAATTGTAAAAAATCCGTTACGGATATCAGAGCAATGTCGGTTATAGTAAAGTGTAACTTGATAAATTTGAAAAAAAATATCGGAAGTGTTTTTTTTTTTGTTACATCGGTTTGTCTTTTTGTCTTATGTCTGTTTTACGGTATTATAATTACTACTCTCAAATATTGAAGAAACCTAGCAAATATAGTTATTGCAACACATCATCGAATCAACGACATCCTAAGGTCACTTACCGTATTTTTTGTTGAAATCAGAAAACCAAGAAGTTTATTCTTTTTTGTTGAAAAAAAACAACATGTGCTTGTTATCTCCTCTTCTATGTCCTTATATAAGTACCTGGTTTTTAGTCTTATGTACCTGGTTTCATGCACCGTGACAAGACTAGTTAACTTATACATGTATATACTCAAAAACCTTAATTTTAAACTTTTTAGCTCACCTGGCCCAAAGGGCCAAGTGAGCTTTTCTCATCACTTGGCGTCCGTCGTCCGTCGTCGTCGTCGTCCGTCGTCGTTAACTTTTACAAAAATCTTCTCCTCTGAAACTACTCGGCCAAATTAAACCAAACTTGGCCACAATCATCATTTGGGTATCTAGTTTAAAAAATGTGTCCGGTGACCTGGCCAACCAACCAAGATGGCCGCCATGGCTAAAAATAGAACATAGGGGTAAAATGTAGATTTTGGCTTATATCTCTGAAACCAAAGCATTTAGAGCAAATCTGACATGGGGTAAAATTGTTTATAAGGTCAAGATCTATCTGCCCTGAAATTTTCAGATGAATCGGACAACCCGTTGTTGGGTTGCTGCCCCTGAATTGGTAATTTTAAGGAAATTTTGCCGATTTTGGTTATTATCTTGAATATGATAATAGATAGAGATAAACTTTAAACAGCAATAATGTTCAGCAAAGTAAGATCTACAAATAAGTCAACTTTACCAAAATGGTCAGTTGACCCCTTAAGGAGTTATTGCCCTTTATAGTAAATTTTTAACCATTTTTCGTAAATTTTTGTAATCTTTTACAAAAATCTTCTCCTCTGAAACTACTAAGACAAATTTAACCAAACTTGTCCACAATTATCATTAGGGTATCTAGTTTAAAAAATGTGTCCGATGACCCCGCCCGCGAACCAAGATGGCCGACATGGCTAAACTAGAGGCTCTAAAGAGCCTGTGTCGCTCACCTTGGTCTATGTGAATATTAAACAAAGGACGCAGATGGATTCATGACAAAATTGTGTTTTGGTGATGGTGATGTGTTTGTACATCTTAATTTACTGAACATTTTTCCTGCTTACAATTATCTCTATCTATAATTAACTTGGCCCAGTAGTTTCAGAGGAGAAGATTTTTGTAAAAGATTACTAAGATTTACGAAAAAATGGTTAAAATTGACTATAAAGGGCAATAACTCCTAAAGGGGTCAACTGACAATTTCGGTCATGTTGACTTATTTGTAGATCTTACTTTGCCGACATTTATCGTTTTTTACAGTTTATCTCTATCTATAATAATATTCAAGATAATAACCAAAAACAGCAAAATTTCCTTAAAATTACCAATTCAGGGGCAGCAACCCAATAACGGGTTGTCCGATTCATCTGAAAATTTCAGGGCAGATAGATCTTGACCTGATGAACAATAGATTTGCTTTAAATGCTTTGGTTTTTGAGTTAAAAGCCAAAAACTGAATTTTACCCCTATGTTCTATTTTTAGCCGTGGCGGCCATCTTGGTTGGTTGACCAGGTCACGCCACACATTTTTAAAACTAGATAACCAAATGATGATTGTTGCCAAGTTTGGTTTAATTTGGCCACGTAGTTTCAGAGGAGAAGATTTTTGTAAAAGATTACTAAGATTTACAAAAAATTGTTAAAAATTGACTATAAAGGGCAATAACTCCTAAAGGGGTCAACTGACCATTTCAGTCATGTTGACTTATTTGTTAATCTTACTTTGCTGAACATTATTGCTGTTTACAGTTTATCTCTATCTATAATAATATTCAAGATAATAACCAAAAACAGCAAAATTTCCTTAAAATTACCAATTCAGGGGCAGCAACCCAACAACAGGTTGTTCGATTCATCTGAAAATTTTAGGGCAGATAGATCTTGACCTGATAAACAATTTTACTTCATGTCAGATTTGCTCTAAATGCTTTGGTTTTTGAGTTATAAGCCAAAAACTGCATTTTACCCCTATGTTTTATTTTTAGCTGTGCCGGCCATCTTGGTTGGTTGGCCGGGTCACGCCACACATTTTTTAAACTAGATACCCCAATGATGATTGTGGCCAAGTTTGGTTTAAGTTGGCCCAGTTGTTTCAGAGGAGAAGATTTTTGTAAAAGATTACTAAGATTTACGAAAAATGGTTAAAAATTGACTATAAAGGACAATTTCTCCTAAAGGGGTCAACTGACCATTTCAGTTATATTGACTTATTTGTAAATCTTACTTTGCTGAACATTATTGCTGTTTACAGTTTATCTCTATCTATAATAATATTCAAGATAATAACCAAAAACAGCAAAATTTCCTTAAAATTACCAATTCAGGGGCAGCAACCCAATAACGGGTTGTCCGATTCATCTGAAAATTTCAGGGCAGATAGATCTTGACCTGATGAACAATTTTACCCCATGTCAGATTTGCTCTAAATGCTTTGGTTTTTGAGTTATAAGCTAAAAACTGCATTTTACCCCTATGTTCTATTTTTAGCCGTGGCGGCCATCTTGGTTGGTTGACAGGGTCACGCCACACATTTTTAAAACTAGATACCCCAATGATGATTGTGGCCAAGTTTGGTTAAATTTGGCCCAGTAGTTTCAGAGGAGAAGATTTTTGTAAAAGTTTACGGACGACGGACGACGGACGACGGACGACGGACGACGGACGCAGGACGACGGACGACGGACGCAAAGTGATGAGAAAAGCTCACTTGACCTTTCAGGTCAGGTGAGCTAAAAATAGTACATAGGGTAAAATGCAGTTTTTGGCTCATATCTCTGAAACCAAAGCATTTAGAGCAAATCTGACGAGGATAACATTATTCATTATGTCAAGATCTATCTGCCCTGAAATTTTCAGACCAATCAGGCAACACGTTGTTGGGCTGCTGCCCCTGAATTGGTAATTTTAAGAAAATTTTGCAGCTTTTGGTTAGTATCTTGAATATTATTATAGATAGAGATAAACTGTAAACAGCAATAATGTACAGCAAAGTAAGATCTACAAATAAGTCAACATGACCAAAATTGTCAATTGACTCCTTAAGGAGTTATTGCCCTTTATAGTCAATGTTTTACAATTTTCATAAATTTTGTAAATTTTTGTAAATTTTTACAAAATATTTTCCACTGTAACTACTGGGCCAAGTTCATTATAGATAGATATAATTGTAAGCAGCAAGAATGTTCAGTAAAGTAAGATCTACAAACACATCACCATCACCAAAACACAATTTTGTCATGAATCCGTCTGTGTCCTTTGTTTAATATGCACATAGACCAAGGTGAGCGACACAGGCTCTTTAGAGCCTCTAGTTTCAATTATTCAAGTGATGAGAACTTTTAAAAAAATTAATATTAAAGAATATTTGTTCATCTCTTACTTAAAGTGTTACAACCAGTCCCTATTTTATTTATAATTCCAAACGTTGTTTTTCACTCTTTTTTTTATTTGCAAGAGTTGGCTGTCTTTCAGGAAGACGAATTTTGTTTATATTTATAAAGGTAAATTTATCTAATATATATCCTGAAACTAAATGTTATGCGTAAACATCACACCCTATTACCGGCTATTACTACACTGCAGATGCAAATGATTTGTGTTCCCGGTGACATTCAAGACCATGGTTTTCCAAGAATTTTGCCATGCAACAGAACACTTACGGACCCCTCAATGAGTTGTTGCAAGGGTTCTTAAACGTGCAGAGATTGTAACTCTTTCCCTACACGAAACATCAGATTTATCGTCCAAATTCCGACCGGACGTCACTGCGTATTTATACGTGTTTGTTTGTTAGTCTTCAGATCGTGGTTTTGTTTGTTTTTCTATGACGTGTGGTTTTTGATTGCACCCCCTTTGGTATCTTCTTTACTTCTGTTTCCAGTTTGTAAAGAGCTTTGAACGGCGCCCTTTGAACTTGATTCCAGTTACTTCAATACCGTATTATCTGGTATTTTTTTAAGGTGAACACATGCTACCGGTTTTCGTGCTCAGTTTCTGGAATAGCTGTTTTCATTGTCTGTAATGTCACTAACAAAACCGGTTTGGTCTGTTACTGGGAATACAATAGTATATTTATCAGACCTTTCTACGTCGATCTGAGGTAAAATAAATAACTAAATAACTGTAATACCTTTGATCTTGACTTAAAAACACAAACCATATATTTTCAGGGATTTTATTTAACAAACTTCCACACAAAAACACTTTAGTACTAAATGTAAAAATTTTCACAAGTAAGTTTTCTTAAAAAGTAATATTTCTGTTGCAACACAAAATATACGTTTTTTTTCTGAGATTCTTAATCTCCACGCATGTAGATAAATAGGAAACCGCGCTGCAAACTAGCATACATATATAAATAACTATCTACAAATGTATAAATACTACATATACTATGAGTTATATCTGGATTAGAAACATGTGTTTACTCACGAAGACTTGAACATATTGCACTATATTTAACAAACTACGTATCAGGGTCCATATACATGTAATTATTGGGGAAATAGTTCTATACAATATATAATGGAATGTCCATAGCAGAGGTCTAATATACATACAAATACCCATTAAATTAAATCCGTTTCAAGGTGAGAGAGAAAAACACGAATCCAAACAAAAACAAAAATGTCTATACAAATTAAACATTAAACTGTTCAATAAAAAGATAAATAAATAAGATACACAAAAAGAGGTAGCACACGCTGTAAAAATACACGCATATAAAAATAAGGTTATGATCAAATTGTATGAATGCCAGGCATCATGGATTATTTTGAGATGACCAATACAACGTGAAATGGTAAGTTGTAATATTGTTCATGAATAAGGCACAAAAACGTAAGTTATGATGAATTGGTGTATCTTTCTCAAAATGTTACATGACGGCTGTTGTAAGACATTCTTATTATGATATTTCTTAAGTTTATTAGATTGTCACATATTTAAAATTTGTAATTTACTTCTTGACTTCTCATACTTGTGTATCAGTTCGATCATTTTGCTGTCCCAGTAAGGATGAAGTTGTCTGCATGCCATCTGGGTTTGATTCTTTTTGTGGTTCATGCTCTCGGTGCATGGGATCACCCTACAAAGGAAACAAAATTTACAAAATTCGGTTTATCTAAAATACGTTAAACAGCGAACATAAGCTACAAAAAACATTAACACATCTTGGAAATGCATGCTACTCATGAATCAAAAATCTTGATTGAAACACAGATTTTTGAAAATAGGATTTTTTTAGGAAAGTTTTGGTATGCTTTCATTGTTATTTGTTCAGATACTATACTAATTCGGACAACATAACCATAATAGTTATAATACTATTGTAAAACAAAAAGAACGACTCGCGATTTAAGCTTAAAACACACTGCTTTTGAACATCGTTATCTTTAAAACGCATGTGAAAAGAAAGACCTATTATCTTCGTTTTGAGATGACCTGAATATGGTTTCTAGTATTACATGATATATTTTGTTGAAAAACCATGTTGAAAACAAATCTATGAACGAGTATGAAAGTCTATATGGCTATGTGGTAAATCTTAAATATATTAAAGCAATTTACCCATAATTCCTCTAAATAACAGTTAATAGACACACTTACCGATTCTGCCCATTTAAATATGATGCATTCAACTATAGTGACTAAAACACCAATCAAGATTCCAGCAGCTACTACTATAAGTACTCCTGAAAACGAGGCAGTATCTAAAGGATAAAATTCTTGAATTTTATATTTTTCATCAGTTCCTTCAAATACATACTGGTTACATGAACCTGTAAACCATTTCTTCTCTAAGTAATCCAAGTACCCTTCTTCGTGGTATTGTAGAATATATCGTCCCATAAGGTTAGTATAAGTGGAGTTGATTGGAAATCCTAAACTATATTGTCTTTTAACTGTTTTCTCGTTTACAAAATAAAACTGACAACCGTATCTCTGAGTTTGATATTTCACCATTAATGATTCGGTTATATATGCTTTTTTACCGGAAGGATAATTCTCAAGCTTTTTTATTCCTTCCTCGAGATTGGCAACATATTCGCCGCTTCCACCTGATTTAAGTTCGGCACCGAGCCGTTGTATGTATTCTTGTTGCGTGTTATACCTTAACAGATCGTCTACAGCACCACCTCTAATGACCATAAACTTTATGTTTCGATTAATAACATCTCGAAGACCTTGAAATTTCAGATATCCTTCAATTTCCTCTTCATTAGGAGGTATTTGCAGAAGACCAGTTAATTTACTTATGTAACACGATACAAAAACTATGACAAACATCCACCAAGCAGTTACCACTACCCTGGCCCCTAGTGACCGTGGACTTCTGATGTAGCCTACAAGACGAATTAGTTTTAATATATAGGAAATCAAAAATACAAATATATATGACTTTCCATTAGCAAAAATAGAAGATAACAAAGGTACACGACCTTAGGGTGTATTGCTGTGTCTTCAGTACGTGTTTTACGATCTCCATTTGCAAGTCACAAACAATCTGACCGATCATGCTGTTTACGTCATCAAAATCAAACTGTTCAATTGAAGGAGTAAACAGCAATCACAATTATATATATTGTATTTGCACTATCTGTATGCCTTATGATATTGATGTTTTGAAACTACTTCTAATTGGGATGCAGTGTAGATGTAACGTATTGGAAAAGGACATCATCTAAAATTGTTATTAAATTTGACCAAAAACACCAAGTAAAATAACAAAAATGCCGAACTCCAAGGAAAATTCAAAACGGAGAGTCCCTTATCAAATGGCAAAATCTAAAGCTCAAACACATCAAACGAATGGAAAACATCTGTCATATTCCTGACTTGGTAGAGGCATTTTCTAATGTAGAACATGGTGGATTAAACCTGGTTTTATAGCTAGCTAAACCTCTCACTTGTATGATAGTCGCATAGAATTCATTTATATTGACAACAATGTGTGAGCAAAATAATTTATACTTCCACGGACTTCTCCCTCTTTCACCTGTAATAACAAATTTACCAAACGGTTGATAAAACAAATAACGAAGTTAGACAAAGAGAGTGAGAGAGTTACTAAGTGTTACACTACCGAACTATATATTCAATTATTTACACCTTGACAAAAGTCACACAAAACTTGTCAATTAAAATATTATTCAATTCTTAAACTATCGTTTTTTCTAAACATATCAACAAATTATAAATGATTAACAATACTACAAAATTTCATTGTTTTGGGATTTTTTTTGCAGACAAAATACCATTTTGATTCTATAGAAATATGTAAAGTTGTTGAAAAGTTTATTGTTCAGACTTTTTTTTATCCAATTCTACAAGTTTTAACAATTTTTCTTACTTTTTTTCTGGCGAGTGAAACAAATACAGAGAAACTTGGTCCTACATTTTTGTTTCTCGTTTGGAAAATACTTCACATTAAAAAAGGAAGTGTTTCTCGAACAAGATGTGTTCCCGATCAGTATTACAATTGAAAACAGCAATATTATAAACCGGGAAAATATTTATGAACTTTTCCAGAGTCTTGCCAAGTTTGTTTACTTAAATCTGAGGTTTCTGCAATTGCGTCTTTCTTCAGAATTCTAATTTCATTCAACTGTTTGTCAATAAAGTGTCCTTTTTGTGTTAAGCATGCAAATTCGTGTGTTTTTTATCCATTTGATTGTAAACGAAATATAACCAACTAATTACCTTGAAGTGTTAATGCACTTAGGGCAAACCAGAAAGAATTCATGCAAGTGAATGATTCCCTTTCTCTAATGGTCGCTTCTCCATCCCTTGCCAATCTACGCCAATCATAAGGATTAAAATAAGAAATAACGTAGATCGCAGAACTGGTGACAAAGAACGCGGCAATCGTCAGTAGCCACACACTGGATTCAAATGGTGACCAAATGCGTTTTATACGGTCAATCACCGGTAATCTTGCTTGGTCTGGTCTCCTAAGAACCATAACCACGTTTGTTATTTGGAATGGATATGAAAATTCCACAACATCTGCACGCTTAGACGTTACGGTTAATGATCCTGCTATCATGTGCGCTCTCTGAAAGAGGTAAATTAAAAATAAATAATTTATGTGAAGAAATATTATGATGTAACTTCTTTTTGCACAAAATCAGGTTTCTAAAGATGAAAAAGTCGCATTAAAGACTGTTTTATATATATTCTTTGTAAACTAGAAATAAAAAAAAATCTTTTATATATAAATAAGAAGATGTGGTATGAGTGCTAATGAGACAACTATCCATCCAAGTCACAATGTGTAAAAAGTAAACAATTATAGGTCAAAGTACGGCCTTCAACACGGAGCCTGGGCTCACACCAAACAGCAAACTATATAGGTCCCCAAAAATACTAGCGTAAAACAATTCAAACAGGAAAACCAACGGTCTAATCTATATAAAAAACGAGAAACGAGAAAAACTTTATGAACCACACCAACAAACGACAACCACTGAACAACAGGCTCCTGACTTTGGACAGGTGCATTAAAATGCAGCAGGTTTAAACGTTTAAACAGGCGCCAACCTTCACCCTAACCTGAAACAGTGGTATAACATTACAGCATACAAAGACAAACAATAAAATATCAATTGAAATGGCTTAACTCGATCAAAAAGACAATACACAAAAACAAGTAAATATTCACTGAACGAATAAGTTTTTTCTATTACACAAAATAAATAAACAAGATGTTTCAATGTAAAAAAGACAACAACCTAGGACAAAATGGCGTTAGATAAAGTAACGTACACAGGTAAATTTAAATATAACAATTTTGTTGTTAGGAGTACAGAAACATTTTTTTACAAAATAAATTTGTTATTCATAGTATACGACTACAGAAGTGAAATTTTTTTCGTCATACTAAATACTTATCAAAGGTGGTACATATTAAAAAAAGTAAGACGAGATATAACACAAAATAAGTAAACATTGAATAACAGAAAAGCCTATTCCGTCCTATTAAAGCCTATTCCGTCCAGACGTGGTTGCGTATTAAAAACACCCCGCACATCCAATCGCATCCCCTCGGCATGCACGTTTTTTTACATGTGACTATATTTCCATACTCCAGTCAATCCTTAGGGTTAACCAATTACATGAGATCTTAAGTAAAAATAACCACGGATGTGTACCGAACTTCTTCATGTGTCGTTAAAACTAAATTTTACCATTAATGTTTATTAACCTCAAGGTTGTTCTGTTGACTATTGATAAGCATTGCATTTCATTTAGTTTACGTCGTTCACATGCATGCAAGCCTTTTTCTCGGACGCATTATATAATGAAAAGTCATATCAAAATTTGAGACAGGACAGGATATCGTGTTTTTCTATTTACTATTTGCAACAATCTATATACATATCCAAAACTTAATCTTAATATAACTTTAATTGCTCATGTCAACTCATACTTCGATTGATTGATTGATTGATTGATTAGTGTTAAACGCTACTTTCAACACTATTGCGCTATTTCGTGACGGACAGGGAAAACTGACAATCCTAGCCATTTCAGATTGGAGTCGTACGCACCCGCCACGTGCCGGATTGAACTGACAACATCAGTGTTGACAAGCTAGTGATACAGCAGTTGGACTACTTAGACCACTCGGCCACCTAGGCCCCCACTCATACTTCGAAAAATATTATGGTATTGAGTAGTACTCTGTCAACAACAGTTATACATTTAGGGACTATGATGATGATACTGATAATGATTTTTACCTCCGACACTATATCATCAATCATTCCAGTCCAAGTACCATTAGGATTTTGTCTTCCATACTCCCCATCATCGGGGAATATGAAGTCGTACGTGAATCCTACATCTTTTGACAGTCTTTCTAATAAATCTTTGATGTACCCTTCATACACTGGTGCATTTCCTGACTTTGCTTTGTTGAAAAGGTAGGGATCTTGCTAAATTATAAAAGAAAAAAAAACGTTGAAGAAAGTGTTCATTAACTGTTAGACGGTGCTTAACCAGCTGCTTAACCCAAATACTATCGAGTGTATTAAAAGATTCATTCTGATCCGTACATTGTATTCATATATTTCTATGTTCCATCAATAACCAAGCTGTCAAGTGAATGGTTGAAGATCTTACTTATACGACCCTACTTCATGATAATGTGCTTGCATGACCCCATATCACAGTGCAGACATAAGTTAAAGATACATGTAGATGGCTTCCAAAACGTTGGTTTCGACCGTAACCGACGACGGTAGTTTCAGAAAACGTGAACACTGAAATCGGTACCATACTCGAATATTTGATATTTTATTATCTATAATATTATCTATAGATGTCTAAAAATATTCAGCTAACTTTCAATTGTTGATTTTGATCATTTATATTTTTTTCACACGATAATTGTAAAACATGATAAACGCATTGTGAAGCTCGATGTGCATATATATACATGTATAATTATGTAAGTCTAAATTGAAATGTATAATTATGTATATATTATCAGATTATTACATGGCATTTTTCATATCAGATGTATTATCAGCCCAAAGGTTCAATATCAGCCCAAGAGCCGAAGGTTGATAATACATCTGATATGAAAAATGACATGTTATTATCTTTTTATCATATGCTTCAACAATATCAATATATCGATCCTTTTAAGTGGTTCTCAAGTAGAAGTTCAAAAAGTGAAAAGTTTACGGACGCCGGACGCCAAATGTAATACATCCGGTATGACATCTTTCTATCATATGCCTCAACAGAGGAGAAACACAACAGTATAATATATTTTTTTTTATTATATACTTAGTGGTAAATACAGGTATATTGTATGTGTAATACAATCGATGCCAATCGTGCTGTATCAACCATCCGTGATGATATCAAGCTTTATCAAACCCCTTATCTGTATGACGTCACGTCATCAATATCAGTCATGGTTATAAAGGCTTTATCATAAATTTAGTAGCAAATACAGTAGTTTTGAATATTTGAAAAATAGCCTGCTGTTTAATCTGTATCGCTCAACTTTGATGCGCACCCTTTATCACACACCTTTATCACACCCCTACTCAAATTTCTCATTTATGTTAGTAATGATTCCGACTAAATTTACATGAAGTCCATGTTTTAATTTATGCAAGCTTCTCAAAAAATATTTTTCCTCAATGGGTCCTAAATGAAACGGTCATTAGGGCGTGACGTCATTGTTTGGCATGTGACGTCACAGACGTCAAGCTTTCATATTTTCTGGCACACGAAATGCAACTACAAAAAAAGAACTCAATGAAATACCATACAAAACACAAAAAAATACAATAAACAAAATATTTCTATGAACAACAGGACGCAAATTGCTTCGGATGAATGATGAAGCAGTTCTTTTAAAGCTTTTAAAACAAGACAAAAGTAAATTTGATGGTAACCCAGGTGCTAGGGATCAGAAAGCAGTTCATAGATACTCTCCTGTTTAAATATATGATAAAGCGTATTATTCTCTATTTATCAAACCCCTAACTTGTATTGCTTGAGAAAAAAAAACATGTACTAGAGGTATATAATAAAGTGTATATGATATGTTTTTTTTCAATATCACTGACACCCCGAATCAACCCTCAACCAATATAATCCCTCGAGCAGAGCTCTTGGGATTATATTGATGTCTCGGGTTGATACGGATGTGATATTGAAAAAGCCATATGATATGCTTTATTTATTCACGATAACAAAAAATCAACAAAACAAAATGAACACTGTTTTGAAAAGTCAACATTTGTAAAGTAACTTGCTAAATTATGCTGGAAACTTTGAAAAAAGCATTTACTGAATCATTTGTTTTGCATTTTACATAATATATTTTCCTATTTCCTAATATTTGTTTTGTACCCTACTTTGTTATGTTTTTCACTGAAAACGTACCATTGAAATGTATTTGCCAGAATTTGCCGAGAAACGCCGGAATGCCATGTGATAACGTTACGGAAAGGAATGCGATAATTAATAGCCGGAAGCAGTTGATAAATTTTTCATATCAGCCCGCTAAGCACCATTTTGGAAAATATTGAAATCACGTAAATTTAATGCTATTATCATACTGTAAAAATTATAAGTTCTTTATTCTAAGTAGGCCCTATATGATAAATTGTTTTATTCATGAATATCTCTGTATAAATTAGAAGTTTAAAAAGTGTTTTTGAGTGAGTATGTTTGACTTGCGGGTATCTGATTGCGTTTGTGTTAGAATATAAGACAACTTACTGTGAAAAGTGATAAATAGTATACCAAAAAAATCAAGATTGTATATTAATTACTACCCGTCCACTTATCGTGTATAATAATTTTGCATACTTACAATTAATGTCGATACAATCAGTTTTTCTCCCTATGAAATGAAAATATATTACATAAAATCATAAGTTTGTTTTTGGCACAAATAAATATATAGAATTCGACAAAACACATTAAAATTTTAAGTTTTTAAAACTATACTTGATTGTTTTATGTACAGGCAGAAATTAAATGTGGCCTGTCCTTATCGACCCCTTCTCGATAGATTAACAGGGCCTCACTATTAAATTATCTAAGATTTAAATAATATCTTGAAGACGTTTCGAAGAGATGCTTTCATTGCATTTTTTTTTACTGAATCGGCTTCAACACTGTGTAAATATTACTCGAAAACAGATTGTTGTATTATGCTCCCGTGAGTTAACGCAGATATTAAAAAAATCGTGCTATTTCAGCCACAGTTAATATGCAATTGTTTTCGAAGATTCAAAGAGGTCCCCTTATAGCTACACAAATATATGACATCGAAATTGGGACTTTCAGACAGCTGTATTTTTCATCTAGCCTATAGACCCATGTTTTGCTCTCATTTTTTTTTGATTAATGATGATTCCAGGATACAAGTTGTTGGCACAGGCTTTTTTGAAAAACACGAATGTTTAGCGGGATCAGACGTCATAGTGTTAAGATAGACACATAAGATGTGGAGATTATATGTGCAGTTCGAGGAGGTTATATTTCAACCACGAAAAAGCTTGTCATCGGCACACTCTAGAAATCGTAAGATTGTCATCTGCTAGTGATTAACCCATTTACAAAAGAACTGTCATCTGTTAGTGATTAAACCATTTACAAAAGAACTGTCATCTGTTAGTGATTAAACCATCTACAAAAGAACTGTCATCTGTTAGTGATTAAACCATCTACAAAAGAACTATCATCTGTTAGTGATTAAACCATCTACAAAAGAACTGTCATCTGTTAGTGATTAAACCATTTACAAAAGAACTGTCATCTGTTAGTGATTAAACCATATACAAAAGAACTGTAATCTGGTAGTGATTAACCTATCTACAAAAGAACTATCATCTGTTAGTGATTAAACCATCTACAAAAGAACTGTCATCTGTTAGTGATTAAACCATCTACAAAAGAACTGTAATCTGTTAGTGATTAACCTATCTACAAAAGAACTATCATCTGTTAGTGATTTAACCATCTACAAAAAAAACTGTCATCTGTTAGTGATTAAACCATCTACAAAAGAACAAAGCACGGGGAACAGAATGCAATCTTTTCAGTGAAAACTGCAATAACTGAAAAAAGTTATCAAAGGAAGAAAATAGCTATATTTTTAGATATTTGAGGTTACAAAATGATTAATTTCGCGGGAAAAAATATCAATACAAAGGAATACAGTTTTCAAAAAACAAAATGAATCCGCAGTAAGGTTCTTTGTTTCATATGAGTAAATCCGTGAATCATGTTTTTGACTTTTAGTTAGGTATTCAGAATCCTCAGGCTTTGGTTTATTCATCAGGTGCAAATACAAATTTTGCCCGCTAACCCCTAATTCTCTTTTCATAATTTTATCACACATAGTTTAAAAAGCAATTTTTTAATATATTATACAATCCTTGTTATTATTTTCATAGTTTTTGAAAGAATAAAGATGCCAATATTAGATGTATGAAAAATATATAGAGAACGATTTCCCGCCAAATTTTCAATGGCTTATATCTCAAAAACAAGGACCTTGCACTTTTTCTGCTTTTTAGTTCCGTAATATATATACTATCAATTCATAACAGTCTTTTTAAAAGCTTGTTATTCAAAAACAGAGTAGCGAACATCCTTAATACAAAGAGCAATGACCGCGTACAATGAAAATATTCAATAATGATTAATTCTCAGCATCAGGTAAGAATTAAGTCGTAATTGATAGAAAAAAAATATTCATGGACTTGTTAAACTGTGCTCATCTTTATGATGTTTGTCACGTAGCCATAGTTTCTCTACGAAAACATATTTTGTTTCAATATGTAATACAGGTTAATTGTTCTTTATCAACGACAGTAGCGGTATTAAAAAGTCCAACCCTTCACTATTGACGATATCTTGAAACGATTTGGCCCATCTCGTAGCACTAATGCTATGGTGCAAAATAACTGCATAATCCATATAATATGTTTATAACTTTTATCAATTTAGGCCAAAATTGTGTTTTTTCTTTGTTTCCGTTCATTTGCTGGTAGTCTTTTGGTGGTCTGAGATCAAAACACAAAAAATATTTCAGAAATCTTTTGAAATTCAATAGATTATGATTTCTGAAGGAATGTTTGAACCACCTTAATCCTTCATTATAAGTTATAAATAAAAGCATTCGATACTGATGTGTTGTATAAACGATTAATTATACAGAATGGATGCATTTGATGTAAAAATAGCGTCAAACTGTAAGGCATGTTTAGTTTCTGGGTGTGTGTTTATTTATATTTTTTTTCTTCCTCATTGGCTGGTAGGTTCTGAACATTTAACTTGACGCAAAAAAACATGCAACAGACTATACTTCTGCGACCAAGATTGTTTATTGTAATTTAAGAACATTTTTATGTTAAATACATATTGTGTTAAGTACAAAGTAATAAAAGAGAAATATTATATATTTCTTGTATTTATATCGTACTTAATCTGTGACGTAAATATATTATTGTCAATGCTGCCAACTCAATTAAATCATTAGCAGATGTTTGCATGCCGATATGTAGCTCTTTTACCAGAATAAATAATTGAATATTGGAAAACAATGAGAATACAAATGGTTTTGTGTACAATAATGTTATTGATTTAATCACTTTTACAAATCTAGTTTAAATCTTTAACCCATGTAAATATGTCATTTTATCAATAAGTTATCTGCAAAAAATGGCAAAATGAGAGATTATAATTTACGAATAAATTGTAACACATCATCAATGATGAAGTTGATTTTATCTTCACTATTATCATGTAATGATATTGATAGAACATATCAATACTTGTTCACAAATCACCATCATCTCGATATTTACACACTTCCTCGATGGAATCAAGGTCAGATTAATGGTAATTCATGCCGACAGATTACAACAATTTAACAGAACAAAATGTTACTTACCTTTGCAATTAAGATGCTATAAAAAATAATGAAAACGGTAGTTGCTAGGAATTTCTGTGCGTCCATGTTTTTAATTTCTGATTGTTAATGATGTATTCCATTTATGCCATTACTGACAGTAGTAAGAGATCACATTTCACTACATTTCAGCGAGAGGCATGCTGTAAGAATGTATTCATACGCATCTAGTGCTTGTACTGTGAGGTTAATATTATCTTATCTTACTTTTACAGAAATTCTCAAATTTTCTCAGAATTCTATATAACAATATAGAGTGTTCATTGCTTATTAATACATGTTTATACACATACATTTGATTTGAGGAAACCATTTTGTTTATTGCCATCTTAGATCATTTCGTCTATCTGTTATGTTGAAAAGGATGGATGGAGGAGATCGAGCTGTTACTTTTTGTGAACATTATATTATGATTAGGAGATATCTTTAAGAAGAAAATAACAATACGTGAAGGTAGATAGTGATGAAAACGCTAGATTCAACTGCTATCGAGAAACTCGTCTTGTGATTGAAAAGTTGTTGTTTATAACTTAAATTCTAGTGAACACTTTTCATGCACATCCAAGGCGAAACAAATTAACAATAGATCTAATAGACTGGGATGAAGAATTGGAAAATTGGACTGGATATGCGACCCTAAAATAGGGATATAATGGATAGGTGCAAAATTTTATTTTGCCACAATCTACTAAACTGAGTCCTCGAAGATTTGATATGTAACGCCCCATTCCGATCGGACGTGGTTGCGTATTTATACATCCCGCTCAACCAAACGAATGCCAATGGAAAAAAGTCGTCCATAGCTATAGTAATTGTTGATTTGTTCTCGTCCTGAATATGAATGAAATATTTTCCACTGGACATAAACAAAAAACATCTACTAAATTGTACTGAATATTATTAATCGAACAGTTTGGAAGAGTCTCACTTATATTTTTAGGTCAATAATTCGTTTTTAAGTGAAAAGAGTCGCTAACAACTATACTAGTATCTAAAGATAAAAGACTGAAAACAAGTCGCTGGTGAGTATACCTCGACACATCGTATCGGTCAACTATTAATTCGTGATAGTGACCGAAAACTTATGTGTGTCAATTTCAGTCTTTCTTCCTCATAATTCTGTTGGGGCACTCACCTGTGAATGAAGTCCGAATAGTGTGAATATGGACGACCGCAATGTATTCACTGAGATAGATAAACGCTATACAATGGGGCAGAGGGTATATTATTGCTAAGAAATGGGAAGTTGACAATAGAAAAGTTGACATCATAATATATGTCATATTTCCTAGCTTGAAGTCGTCCATCAGTGTCAATTTCGAGGAAAATATCAGATATGAAGCAGACTTTTTGCTTTCGATAGTATCCTTAAACTCAAATTCACTAGGATGTATAAGATGTAAGCAATCATTGAAATGTTGGCAATTGAGTGACAAAACATCATCAATATATCTGAAAGTCAAATTAAGGAACTTTACAAGAGGCTTTTTCTTTTTGCATTTGTGAAGGTTCTGTATGGAATCTACTTCATATGAATACAAAAACAAGCCGACCAGTAGTGGTGCGCAGTTAGTACCCATTGGAATACCGACTATCAGATGAAATATCAACCTAACAGACTCAACAAATATGTTTGTCGATCAAAAAGTCCAGGATTTTTTTCATACCATCTTCGGTGTATTTGTTGTGTGAATCAATGTGGTTATTCACAAAGTAAGATTTTTCATGACCAGTTTGTTTCTATACGTTTCCCAGTTTTGTAGAAAAGGCTCTGTTAAATGAGACGATGTAGTCGATCTTTCAACTGACCTACGGGAATAGATGTGTAAAGATTAGAAAAATAAAAGGTTTTGGTATTACTGCAAAATTGTTCAGATTGTGATTGAAGATTTTGCAGTAGATCTTTGTATTTTTCAAGAATCCACTTCTGATTGACACTGTTGAATATAAACAAGTTTATAAGTTACAAAAATTATGCATCTATACATTAAACTTTCATAAGCCAAGAAACAGCTGTGAACAATCCATATATATATATACCAACTTGTGTAGTTTTTGTGTAAAACTAGTTAATGATTGTGTGCGTTTAAACTCCGATTTACGTTTTCTATACGTCTATATATTACCTCTAGAACACGGTTACACTTAGGCTTGCTACATGTCCCTTCCTAATTTTTTTTTTTTCAATTTTGACCCTTTAACAAATTTACTGCTATAACTAAGAGATTACCATTATACTGACATCTGCAGAGGGCAATCAGATTACTGGCAGTTTTCAGTAAACATATAAATTAGTAAGAAAGAATTCAAAGAAAGGGACATGTAGCAAGTCTGGGTTACACTCTATATATGTACGAAAAACTACCACCAAAATCGATTGATATACAATAATGATTAACAAGTTTGAAGGCAAAGATAAAGGGATTGTATTTGTATATACTTATATGCACAATTCATTCCAGTAAACCGAGATGACAACTCCTTATGTTCAAAAACCAAAACGATATAAATTAGTTATTGTTAAAAGAAAGTAGCAACATATTTTTATGGATGATAATATTTGTAAATGTATTTTCGTTTTATTTGTTTTAACTTAAAACTGACATACTTTTAAATTGTTACATTCACATATCCACATTGAAACTGTTTTTAAAGTTGTTTGATGCCTATACTAATGTATTGCAGGAAATATGGATACTATATGTGATAATTAAAGGCAATTTCGGTTTTGAATCTAGATTTTGTTTCGGAAATTGATAACAAGAATCACAAAAAATACTGGACAGTATATTAAACAGACCACAACAACCAAGAAAACAAGACTCGTTTAAAAAGACGAACAACACATCAAAATAGCATGACCTGGTACTGGAATAGGATCCTAGTTACGGCAACCAGTCAGGTACCCACGAATGTAGTTCTTAAAAAAAATTTATAACTTTTATTTAAAATGGTGTAGTGTTATTATTACACAAGTTCTGTAACTGAATGTAGATTTATTTGAAGGGGTAGGCTTTCTATTTGAATTTCTGTAAAAATTTTGATTGATTGAGCTGTAATCTGGCGTCATTACATAGAGTAATGATTGCCTGAATTTTAGCCTTTGTCCTCCACGGAAGTAGACGGACTGACCCTGTTGTCAATCAAAACAAAATTTTGCAACGGAATGCCGGTCATGAGGCACTGAGATTGTACTTAGAAACTCCAAAACAAATGCCTAACATGAACCAGAAGTCCCAAGGTGGCTATCAAAATTATCAATTGAATAGCATCCCATTTACTAAAAGTATTTACTATGATTTTCAATGCATTTCAATGGGGCAAATAATTGGGTCCCCGTTCCTACTGAAACAAATAATGGTGGGGCTGATCAATATCTTTTTATTTACATGTATATGTGTGTTTGCTTCATGTATGTTCGTATTCCATTTTGTATGACTTTGTTTACATGAAAATCCAACTAGCCTATTGGATGTTTCAAAGAAATTGATTGGAGTTGACGTTATTTACACTCACATATGAAAAAGTGGTAGATGAACATTTTTATTTGTTTCCTACTTTTAATTCATACACCTTATCGCTATTTGGAAATCTGCGCCGGTTGACCTGAGAATCTGCGCCGGTTGAACTATTGACGTCATACAACAATCACTTTTCCATTGTGGGGTGAGATATTTTCTATTATGACGTCAAAATTTTACGGGAACCTTTGTGATGTCCAGTAATGGCGAACAAATAGCGATAAGATGTATTTTTTACCAAAGATTCAAAATTTTACATTTCATAGCTATTTTAAAAATACTCCCCCTTTTTCTTTGTCTTACATTAAAACTGGTAGTAAAGCTTCAAAACAGCATAAGGATTATGAAACAGCAAATTTTATTAACGTTAGCGCAAAAAGTGTAATTTCATATTTAATGAAAATACTTCAGATTGCTATTTGAAGCAAATACATGTAGTTTCTTGTGCTGTTTTTTTATAAAACAAGTTGAAAGTTGTAATACGAAAAATAACAGTAAATATAAAGCTAACTTGAAGAAAAAGGATTAAATTAAAAGTTGAAAAATACAAATAATTATGATTTTACTTTCAAAACTCGAACACACAAAAGGGTAAAAACGATAATTAAACATTTCTTGAAGCTCTTCGTTAGGTAAAAGCAAATGCATGCAAATCATTGTGACATATTCTGTAATAATTGTAGTAACAATACTTCAGTCTCATACATTACAATGACCCACACAATATAGTTGCTAATCATATACTAACCGAAGTAAAAATAAATTCGTTATTAATAATTTATTTCACAACTATAGAAACATGTTAGTATTTCATGATAGACTATCATGGCCAGGGTAAAACTTTTACATTAATCAGTAACTACAATTTTTACATTTATTTGAGATGATAATGAATGTTCGCCATGGTCCGAAGCTTCAATGGTCAGATAATATAGTCCTCCTATATCCTTATCTATGTCACCAGTAGACCGTATCTCTCCAGGTGATGTAATTTGGAAAAGTAGATCAGGATTTTTCACAGAGAATGTCAGTTGACCATTTCTTCCTTCATCAATATCGAATGCTCTTACTATTCCAATTAAAGTTCCAATTACACAATTTTTCGATACTAGGAATTTATAGTCGTCAAACGGGTAAAGGAAAAAAGGTTTGTTGTCATTAACGTCGATAAGTTCTATCGTGACAAAAGCCTTACTCTTCCTCTGTGTTGAACCTTGATCCTTAGCAATTACATCAAATGAAACAGCTGCTATCGATTCCCTGTCATGGTGATGACTTGTCATTACTTCTCCAGTATTAGCATCAATAATGAAACCACAATGATTTGGTATTATTTCATACACAATTTCTCCGTTCTTTCCTAAGTCCGGGTCATTTGCCTCAGCTGTAAATATATATGTGCCAATTGGTATGTCTTCTGGAACCTTATAAATGTAAGACTTTTGTTGAAATTCCGGTGAATTGTCATTCTCGTCTGCTATATGGATATTTAGACTGACCGCGGACGATAATCCTAACTGCTGATCTTCACAAGCTACTCCAACGACGTAAAAACTAACAAATTCTCTATCGAGTGTCACATTCGTTTTTATGAGGTAATTATCAGCAATTAACGTTGAAAGTGTAAATTTATTATTGTCTATTGAACAGACAACTTCCATATGGTAAGATACAGCTAGCGCAACCACTGTAGTACCTACGTCGCTGGACTCCGAAATCAAGATTTTCCCATCAGAACTAAACGTATTAACAGAAATAACAGGCTTTTCGCTTGCATTAGCAAGCAAAAATGTCTCCAATAACATGAATTTCATTACAATCATGTTCATTTTGGATGTGTTAGCTATCCTTACGAAAATATCCGAACTATCAATGTACCACTGGATGAATTAAGTTTAATTT